AGAGAGAGAGAGAGAGAGAGAGAGAGAGAGAGAGAGAGAGAGCACTGTGGTGAATTACAATTTTTAGTGGAACAGAGGAAGAAGGAAAAAGAAAGAAAAAGAGCGCAGGGGAGGAAGGGGGAAGAGAACGGGATAGATATACGAAATATCTCATAAGCTTTCAAAAAAATTAGTTTGCTGGTCATCTGGGAGAGGCGAGGAACCAAATGAGCCTGCACTCGCTCCTACCCATCCAACAATTATTGATACTGGGTCAATCTAACAGTATGTCGTTTATTCTGCGTCTGGGTTTCTTTTGGGTGGTCAACCACAGCTTGTGCGGGTGGGTAACTTCCGGAGATGACAGGGACCAGGAGCTGGGTTCAGTGCCCGTACGGGTGGCAGTCTAGGTTAAATCCTTATTAAAACGAGCAGATTAACTGCAGGTGACCTATGTGGAGTGCAGACCTAGATATGTAAAAAATTAAATTTGCTTAATAGCACAGCTGGCTGTGCTAATGAGCAGAAGTGGTGCAAGAAGCTTCTAGCTTCTTGTGATGTTCGTGGTACCGGTCCGGTAGTCAGGGCTTAGTCTGCGGCAGACCCTCTTCCATGAGTCTTCTGATGTTGCAGATTCGTCGGCAAGCGTTGTCTGATTACTTGATGTTCAGAGCAGTGAGGATTCGGCACTGATGGCGCCATAGTTGAATCTGAGAGCTTCGATAGTAGAACCAGGTCGCAATGGTGTGTCAGGGGATGGGGAGCTGATTGTAATGGGCAGGTGTTGGCTGTCCCCGTCGTTGATCTCGTTACTGCTGACCTGGATGATTTCTGGGTTTTCTTGTACTTCTCCTTGGGCAGGGATTGAGGCGTCGTTGATCCTCTGCGTCCATTGCTGCAGCAGCAGGTGCTCGCTTGGTGGGAGCCATGTCTGTGGTGGGGCGGTGGCGGCAGTCGTCGTGGCTTCTCTAGCGTTGGCAGTGGCGGTGGGGGGGGGGGTGGGGGGTGTGGGGTGGTGTGGGGGGGGGGGGGGGGGCGGGCAGATTTGTGGTGCTACAAGGACATTCAGACGCTGTGCCTGCGCATTGAACACGTCAAACATGTCAGGTTGGCGGCCGTCGTACTGTGGCGGGTTCCGTCTACCTTGTCTCGTTGCGCGCTTGTTGCCTTGGGTGGAGATTGATTTGCAGGTTTTGTTGCCTTTACGGGGGTTCTTTTTTGCCGGTACAGGAAGTGGGTTCATAGCAATGCTCAGTAGCTGTTCTCTACGAAGTGCTCGTCTTCGAGCTTCTGTGTCAGGGTTGGCGATAAATGGGGTGGCAGCGGTAGCGCAAGCGAGGTGAGGAGGCGTAAGTGATGGTAGGGTGCTAGTGGCAGGCTGTGTAGGACGAGTGCTAGTGAGGATATGTGAGGCGTTAATAGGAGCGAGTTGTCTGATGTTTGCGGGAAGTGCAGCAGAATTCCTGGCTGCCAATTGTGCAGCAACAAAGGTGAACATGTTGGGTTGTGCGGGGGACGTGTTTTGTGTTGCTGATTGGTGGTGAGTTGGGGGTGCGATGGTGGGCGACGGTCTTGTGTTGTCTTGTACATTTGGTTGGGGGTGGAGAGGTGTGTTCTGGTTCGTGCTTCTTACAGACCGAGGAAGCATGTGATTGCGTTGTTGTGTGAGCATGGTGCGGTCAGGCATGGTGGGGTGCAGCAGGGAGGCGGGGGCGTGTGCCTGTACTGGCACGTGGCTAGACCGTGGGGGGTGTGCTTGTGCAGGGGCAAGGTTAGACCGTGAGGGCGTGTCAGCAAGTGTGTCAGGTATATTAGTTGGTGAGAGGATGTTGGGTGCACTGTGCGCAGTGGGATGAGTTGGCGTGCGTATTGCGGCAGAGTCTGTGGTTGGGGTTTGTCCTTGCTGCGGAGTGCCAGTAGGTGTGTTAGATGAGGTGCGGGGGCCGCTGCTGGGTGTCCCGAGTCGCATTTGTCGACATCTGTGTACTGAATTGTCTTCGAAATCGATGTTGCCGTTTCTCCTGCTAGGTGTCTGTGCGAGCAGCCCTTCTTCATTTGGAAGCAAGGCGGCGGTGAACTTCCGTACGAAAGGCACATCCGTACGAAAGGCACATCTTTGAAGTCTTCAAAGCCGAGGATTTCTTCTGGAGAGATGTTCCTGTTCTCTGTGACGAGATGCAGAATCTTCAGCATGTACTCCCTCATGAAGGTGAACGTGATCTATGCCAGAACGGGTTTCTTCCAGGAGGTCCGTAGCAGGGCTTGGAATTCCAGCATCCTGATCTTGTCCGATGGCGCCAGCGGGTCCAACTTGTCATGGTTGCCGATGATGTACCAGATCATGTGGTCCAGCCATGTAAAGTTTACTTCACAACTTGGGCAGGGGCATTTGAGGAAAGGCCTACCTGCGTTTCAGAGCTTCCTCAGTTCTTGCAGGTCTGTCGGGAACTTGGGGATCCCCTTTTGGTGCAGCAGCGGCCTTTGGGAGCATTTGCCTTTTTCAAGGCTCGAGATCGGAGGAAAATCTACATCAAGTCCGGTCCTTCCGACCGGGAAGTAAATGGTCGCATTCCTGGCTGCGGTACGATAGTTGTCGATATCTGTGACAGTTAGGCCAGCAAGGGCCATGTATGCAACGACACTGATAGGTGCGGTGTAGTTGAAGGTATCCAACTTCCATAATAAGTTATGGACACGCTGAACTGTTTTCTCCGTCCATGTGCTTGAAGCCAGCGGAAGGAATGGACTGTTCTTCGCGAACTTGTGGCTGGTGTCTCTAGCAGATGAGTAGTTGTCGAGATGCGCAGATTGTCGTCTCATGGCTTCCTTCTGTTTGAAGTACTCCAGCTCGGCAGGCGTAAGGGCGATGCTGCTGATGTAGTTGTCAGTGAAGGTGTCTGCAGTGTCGTTGGTGGATACCCGGTCGGCAGTGTCTAAATGCGTCGTGTCATAGCCGTGGAGGCCAAGGATTATCTTTTCGGCCTTCGCGACGATGAGGTTAAGTTCACTGTTCTCAATAGCGGCCTTCTTGCAGACGTCCGCAATGTTGGAGGCCAATTCCTTGATCTTGTCCGATAGGTCCTGGGGTCTAGTCTGCATGACAGCGAGCAGTGACGCCCAGTCGTTAAAGGACATGTTTTCTATCAGGAAAGGTGCTTGCCCATTTGTAGCCTCATGCACTTGCAGCAGTACGTCGGCAGGTATAGCCAGCATGGCTATCTGACAGTGTACGATGGGCGGTTTGAGCATGGAGAATGGTCTAATGCTGGTGACCAGTTCAGGATGCCAACCCATTAGAATACTGTCTTGGTCCTGCACACGTGACATGCGAGTCATGAGGTTAGTTTAGTAGAAGTTATAGTGTTTGGACAGGAAAAGGAGTTTTTATGCCTGGCTTAGGCGGTTATTTATCTTTAGGCAGGTGTATTGCAGTACACGTGTCGGTGATGGAGGGGGGAAGAAGTGTCAATTGGCTGAAGTAAAAATGTGTTATTAGTTGTTTTGAAGGAAAATTTTAAATTTAGTATTTTATTTTTTTTTATTTTTATTATATTACTTTATTATTATTTTATTATTTTTTATTTTTTTAATTTGTACTGTATATTATTTATTTTTAGCTAATCTGTTTTTTTAAGTATACTGTCAATCAGGCTTAACGTGGGTATGTTAAGCGTCGTTTAGTGGGTTTGCTTTTATGGGGATTAGTACGGGTATTTTGTGTTGCAATGTAACATATGGCGCATCGCTTTATGGATTGTTGTGTTGCGGTATTTGTGGGGGGAGGTCTGGTTTACATAGGGAGTATTGTTAAAGGTATTGTGGGGGCTTGCAAGGATGCTGCCATGATATAACATTCTGAGTGGTTTGAGGGAGGCTTCCTTAATGTAGTGCTAGGGAGGATTGGTACTACGAGTGATAAGGTTAGTATTATTGGCGTTGTGTGTGATCAGGGAAGGCTTTGTCAAGACTCAGCCAAGGAACCAATATTATTTTATTATTTTACTATTATAAAAGAGGGGTGTGTGCGGCCTTATGTGCTTAAGAGCGTTTCTTGGTCAGGAGTAAGGTATAAGTGGGGTTTCTTACTGTGGGATGTTTTAGGAACTATCAGCAGGTTGTTTTTATGGGGGTAGTACGGGTGGCGGTGATCCTGTATTTATAGTTTATCGGTATTGTCGGAGTCCAATATCTGGCGTAGCATAGCCTCGGTGGAGCAATGTTCTGATAGGTGTGATGCACATTTTTATAGTGGATTGGTGGTGGCTGCGGTTCGGGGGAGGCGGTTGCAGCTAGTTTTTTTTTTTTTTTAAAGGGTACCGAGTGGTGAATTTTGGTTGTGTAGTTCGATATGGGGTCATGGTTTCTAGCATGCGGAGGCTGGTGACCGTCAGGATGCATTATATAGTGCAGACCAGAGCAGGCCTTAGGCAGCGAATTTGCCAGTGACCTCGTTCAGACAGAGATGTTAGGAAGTGCATGTGAAAAGACGGAGTGGAGTAAGGTCGGGTCAGACGTGGTGGTCGTAAGGAGGCGAGAGAATTGGGGAGGAGGAAGGTGAATTCGTGCAAACTTTCCTTGACGTGCTTTGGGCTAAAGTTGGGGAGGGAGTTTTGTGTGCCAAGGTGTTTTGGATAGCGTGGGATGGAGTTCGTCACTGTTTTTCATGGATTGGTGCGACAAGATACAATCATGGTGGTGGAGCTTCAGCATCTTCGCGATAGTCAGAAGGGAGGGGAGGGGTGGGGGAAGGCTCCAGAAGGTCGGAATGTCTCGCGAACGTATGATGTGAGCGTGAACGGTCGTATCAAGATTCGTGTAAGGGCAAGATTTAGCTATCTTCAATGGTCATTAGTGTCCATTGGTTTTGAGTTGGAACAATTTGGAGAGGGGGTGCCTATAGACGAGCGATCAAGGGACGAGGGCATACTTCGAAGAATCTTGGAGGTTATAGTGACGGTGATCGCGGCTGAGCATCGGTCTTATATTGTTGAATGCTCAGTCTGGCAGGCATTCATGGGTGCACCCTTTGCCTCACGTGAGATAAGTGGTCTGATAGAGGAGTATTCATGGGGGCGTTGAGGCAGGCCTGGTATGTCACGTGGCAGTCATCATGGGAACGTTAATGGGGACTGAATGACAATTGCGCGATTGTTTTTTTAAGGTTATCGCGGGTGTTACTCGGTGTGATTTCGTTGATTGCGTGGTTCGGCGAGTCTGTGTGGGTGCACATCTTGCTTTAGGAATATATTTGGGGTCACTGAGTGTTGCCCATGGAGTAGATCGTGGTAAAAGAGGAGCAAGGGGGCATTGTGACCTTTCTGATGATCATGTGAGCAATATCCAATTGTATGATAAAGCGTCAGGGGTGACGTGGAGTATTGGTGTGATATAGGGGGGCATAATTGTAGCGATGGAAAACATGGAGCGCGTGGGGTTGGGGGAGGTGTTGGGGGTCAGGTGTTGTTTTTAGTGTGGGGAAAGAGCCCTTGAGGGTGAGCAAAAGAGAGAGCGCACGCGGACGAGAGAGAGAGAGAGAGAGAGAGAGAGAGAGAGAGAGAGAGAGAGAGAGAGAGAGAGAGAGAGAGAGAGAGAGAGAGAGAGAGAG